TCTGAGGTTCCACCTGGGGCGGCGCTGCAGCCGCAGGCCTTCCATAAGCCCACAGCAAGGGCAGCAACGTGTACCAAGGTCTTGCAGGTGAGGTTTTAGGGAAGCAGAAGGAGCTATGTGCTGGACATCTGTCCTTCTCTCCAGTCCCACCCCCCCACACTCAGCTGACCCCCATGGACTGGAAGCCCCAGCAGGCAGCCTTGCCCTCTGGCCTCTGGAGGGGAGGGACCCAAGGGGGCCAGTGTGCTGACCCCCAGCTCCCTCCTGCAGGGTCGCTGGGGCTAGTCATGCTCCTGGAATGACATCTCTCTCCAGGTCTGGGATCTGTCCCATGCCCATCCCCAGTGTCACTGCCCCAGGCACCCTGAACAGCACCAGCCCTCCCTCAAGCTTTCCTTGCACCTGCTCAGCCTGTGAACAGTCCCTTGACTGAGCCCTCCTTCGATGACTCAATTTGTGTGCTGCATGTTTCCTGGTGGCCCCTGTCTGGTGCACACTGAGTTCTGAGTCGCCAGAGGGACACAAAGACAGTGGTTTTCCTAGAAAGCAGCAACCTGGAGAGCTCCGACTCAATTTGTGTGCTGCATGTTTCCTGGTGGCCCCTGTCTGGTGCACACTGAGTTCTGAGTGGCCAGAGGGACACAAAGACAGTGGTTTTCCTAGAAAGCAGCAACCTGGAGAGCTCCGGCACCCTTATCTCCTCTCGGGCCAGGTGCAGGACCCTCCCTGGCCGTCAGGGACTTATGGAAGGCCACATTCCCCAGGCTGCTCCTCCACATGGCTGACACTCCAGCTAGGTAGCTGGCACTGCCAGGGCCTCCCTTTCCAACTGTACAATAGGGTCACCCTTCCTGGGCCTGCTGGGGAGGGAAGGCTGTGTCTAAGAGGACATGGGCAGGTCCTTGGGCATCAAGGCAGGGAAAGACCAGCTGTGGCCCAAGACCTAGGTCCCCTGCCACATATGCCCCAACCTCTCGGGGCTCCCTCCTGCTGGTTCAGAAGTCATACAGCTCCTGAAGAAAGGCCCTCTGAGTCACTCAGTCCACAATGCCCACGATGGGACAGCTCTCCAGAGCACCCCTGGCCAGTGGTGTCCTACAGCAGTTTGGTTACCCCCTGTGACAGGGAGCTCACCTCCTGGCATGGGGAGCCCACCCATGGTGAGCAGTCCCTCCTAGGATCAAGCAGCCCTGATCATGGAAAATTCTTCCCAGTGTGGGGCCAGAACTTGCCTCCCATCAAGTTCTAGACCATTGATTCTCTGCATATAGAGTCACCAAGGGTGGGTGTGGGCACTGGTCCTGGTGTTTAGTTTAAGCCTTCCACATGACGCAAATGTGCAGCCCGGATAGAGAGCCACTGCCTTCGATCTCACTCTTCTGACTCTACTTAGTGGCCACGACTTCCAGGAAGCCTGCCCTGACCATCTGGAGCTGGGCTAGGTGCCCCCCAGGATCCCCAGCCCCCTACACCCTCTTCAAAGCACATGACGTGGGCCGTGAGCAACTGGAGGGCAGGCCCAAGGCCCCACACCCACCCTCAGCAGATCCCAGGACCATTTGGTAAATGAACGAATAACCCTCCTTGCTCGGTGCTCCCGCTCGGCATCTGCCGTGCTCCTCAGCATCCTCAGAACAAGTCCCGCTCCTCACCTCAGCCCTCATGTCCTTGTACATCTGACCTTGTGACCCTGTCCCTCCCACACTCTGGTCCACACACACTGCGCCCGCTCACTGAAGGAGCACACAGAGCTTTCTTTCACTTCAGGCCTTGCCCATCCCGCTCCCCCGTCTGGAACACTCTTCCCGTTCCTCCTCAGGTCTCTGACCAGGTTTCTCAAACTTCGGTGTGCATACAGTTCAGCTGGGATCTTGTCACAAGCAGAGTCTGGGTAAGGGGGTCACTCCACAGTCCCCCAAGCTCCCAGGTGTCGCAGGGCTGCCAGCCTTGCATAGTGAGACTGGAGCCATCTCCTCCTCCAAGCAGCCTTCCCAAGCCCCCGTCTGAGCTCCCAACCTTCCACGTATGTCCCCCATGTGTACTCTTGCTCCCCCCACCAGTCTCACTCGGGGTGGACAGGATTCTGGCTGCCTTGGCCACCATTTGACCCTCACCTCTACCATGGGGTACTGGAAAGCGTTTGCTGCCTGGATGCTATAATTCAGCCAAGGCCTCCCCATCCTGATTCCAGCATGGTGCTGGGCACGTGACACCCTGGCGGCAAGGCCAGCAGGCTCACCTTGGCGATCTGGTCGAACTTGCCGAAGAGCTCATTCAGCATCACCACCAGCTCCTTGGGGGAGCAGTCGCTGGCCAGCCGTGTGAAGCCCACGATGTCAGCATAGAGGATGCTGGGGGTGGGGCAGGGCCAGTGGGAAAGTCAGAGCCAGGCCCCCTGGAAGACGGGTAGCTAGAGCAGCACAGAGGACTGTCCAGCACCCCCAAAAGCCCACCAGCCCTGAGCCCCAATCAGCCTCACAGGGATGGGAGAGACGCTCCCAGCCATAAAGACAAAGTTCCAGAGGCTTCACATTAAAGCAAAATGGAGCAAACCTCAGAGTCTGCAGCGGCCCTTTAGACCTGCCACCAGGCCCCACCACTGCAGAGGATTGAACGGTGCTCTTAGAGGCAGCTCAGAACTCCTTTTTCCTCTCTCGTACCTGGATTTTTGCCTTAAGCTCAGACTTCAGAACTAAACCCACTGGTAGGATGCAACTCCATGCTCCCTCAAGCTGGCCTCCACACCCAGCACTCTACACACATCCAGTCTCAACACAACCCTTACAAGACTCCCAGTCTACAGACGAGCAAACGGAGACTCAAGGTTGAGACCTGCTGGGAAGCCAGAGCTGACATCTGCGCCAGATCTCCCTGCTCAAAGGTTGGCGAGCTCCTGGACCATCGACTGCCCACACAGACACAGCAGGTATCACGCTGACCATTCAGAGGACCAGGGCAGAGCTTGCAGTACCCACTTCTACACTTAACTCAGGTCAGCTCACCCAAGTAAGAACCTGTGGCCCCTTCCAATCAGCCCAGGAGAGGTGTCAGGACCGGGGGACTCTGGGTCACGGAGCCCTGGGGCTTCGCCTCCTCCCCAGGGACCCATCTCCCTTTAAGAACCATCTGAAAGGACCCCTTCCTTCCCAAAAGTCATGTTTGCTCACACAGAGTCCTACAATTTCAGGGGGCTACCAGATCTCCCCCAACACCAATCTGAATTCTCTAATTTAGGAGCCCTCATCTGTTCCTACTTCTAGGGAAACAAATGGGGAGACTGAGGCCCAGGAAGGGCCCCAGGTCCCTAATCCCTGTGTGGGCTGAGGTCTGAGCCTCCAGATAGGTAGACAGGGGGTCACCTGCTTGGTGCTGGGGGAGGGGTGGCCAAACCCCCAGGAGACACCACCAACACATGCAAGGCCCACGGCCACCACCCACCTGACGTTCTGGTGCCGCTTGACGTAGAGGCTGTGGAAGTTGTTGTCAGGCATGTAGTGGCGGTCCCCGCGCTCCTTGAGCCGCTCAATGATGGCCAGCTTCATGCCCATGGAAATGTGGGCAGGGAGCACCGAAAGCAGCAGGTTCTCCTGTGTGCCGGTGGACAGACCAGTGGGGGACAGGTAGGTGGCATCAGACCCCAGGCCTCTAGTCTCCTTGCCTGCTGTGCCCACAACACCCTCCATCTCTGCTGGCTTATGTCCTGCCACCAGCCCAGCTAGGCACAGTCTCCTGTGTCCCCAGCTGCCCCCCAGGGTAAGATCTACACGGGTGTCTGGCATGCACCTATGAACAGCACACAATTGCTCAACAAGTGTCTGATGTCCAACACAGAGAGGACGGAGCACAGGGATGTGCAGGGTGAGGGGTGGGGGGCAGGGAGAGCTAGGGAGGACAGGGCAGGGGCCAGGCTGTGCTCCGGGTGGAGGCAGGGTCCCCACCTGCTGGCGCTTCTCGATGCGCAGCTTCCGACGGATCTGGATGCACTTCACAGTGTAGGTGAAGAGGTCGTGGGAGGCGTCCTGCATCTGGTGCTTGTGGAAGGCGCCCGTGAGGTTCCCACACAGGAAGATGACAGCATTGGCCAGCAGCTGAGTGCAGCCAAGGGCAGGACTCAGTGTTTGGCCTGCCCTATGCACTCAGGCACCAGCCCCCTTGGTGGACTGGTGAGGGTACCCCCTCCCCATTCCTGGACCCCCAACCCACTCGGGCTGGCACTCTTCCTGGGGCAGGCAAGGAGACTGAGGCACAGACACAGACTGCCCTCTTAATGAGTCACTGGGACTACAGGACCAGGACTCGGGCCCTTCTCCACATCCACCAGGCACCTGCCCTGTCCAGTATGGCTTGGGCACCAGATACCAGGGAAGCCAGTCACTTCCAGGGATGCAAAATCAGCCGCCTTGCAGAGCCAAGTCCCGAGGGGACTGTCAGGGCAGCCATAAAGGCACAGTGCCCAGCCACAGCCCGAGCTATCCCGCACCCCCGGAGAGGACACCCAGGCCAGTCAGGAGGAAATACATCTCTACGTCCCCACCGATGATGAATAAAAGTTTCACTCACTTAACACAAAGACACTAGACACAGTATCCTAGAACACAGCCCCCCCAGTCCATCAGGACGGGGGCTCTGAGGAGACAGAGGAACCTGGGAGCGGAACCTCATCCCACAGAAGTGCGCCTGACCCGGATGCAGGGCCTGAGCATGCAGGGGCGCCCTGGGCCAGCAAAGATGCCGGCAGGGCAGGGCCCCTGCCCACCCAGGGCTATCTTCTGAGCAGTCTGGAGAAAGCCTGGCCTTGAGGCCATCTGTCTGCAAACATGACTCCAGGGCTTTAGCCCATCTCCACCCCCAGCAGACCGCCATTCCCCTCACCTGCAGCCCCACCCGGACGCTGGGTGTTGCGAAGGCCCCCATCAGAGCTCCGAGCACCAGGAGGTGGGAGGCGGTAGAGACCACCCCCACCGTGATGGCTCCCTGCATGCTGAAGGGCAGCAGCGTGTACACCACGAAGATGATAAACAGGAAGAAGGGCACCTAGGGACAGGGCATCATGAGGACGAGGCCCCAGCAAAGCCACCCCAGGCCCAGGACACAGCCCAGAACTAAGCTAAGGGTGGGGGCCCATCTGCATGCTGAAGGGCAGCAGCGTGTACACCACGAAGATGATAAACAGGAAGAAGGGCACCTGGGGACAGGGCATCATGAGGACGAGGCCCCAGCAAAGCCACCCCAGGCCCAGGACACAACCCAGAACTAAGCTAAGGGTGGGGGCCCATGGGCTGTTGTCTTCTGGGGATGGCCCCCAGAAACCTGGCAACCAAACCAGTCCACCCAGGGCCTTCTGTCCTCAGGTCAGCCCCCTCCCTTGTCCCCTGTGTGGTGAGACAGCACTAGACTAACAGGAACAAGAAGGCACAGCCAGCAGCACCCACCATCTCTCACGTGCTGACTGCCCATCTGTGGCCAGGGCTGAGCCTCCCCAGGAGAAGGACTCCACAACCCCATGACCCAGGGAGCCCCAGCCTGGTGCCCCAGCCACATGGCCCTGCCCCAGCCTTCCTGCAATTACCATTCCTGGGAACTGCAGGAAGGCTGGGGCAAGGCCCATTCACCGGCTACCTTCATCCATGTTCGAAGCTGGATGCTGCTATCCCCACCTGCCCAGCATCCCCCTCTTCTGGGGACAGCACCCCCCACCCCCAGCCTTCAGTCTATGGTTTCCATGAGCCTCACCCCACCCCAGCCACATGAGCGGTCACAACACCCAGGCCCACCGGTCAGAGTGTGCCACCCCTTGGCAACAGTGACTCTCCAAACCAGGCCAGTACAACTCAAGCCTTCAGCTGGGGTGGCTAAGCTGACAGGTGGGAAGCCTGGGGCCACTGCGGCCTTGTCTGCCCCCACCTGGGGATGGCATGCCCAGGAACAAAACAACACAGAGGAAAGCACAGTCGAGAGGATGGGTTCGGGCTATCCTGCTGGAGCCCTAGGACTGACCCCTCAGCCTTTCCTGGTACATGAGCCAATTTGTACCTTTGAGCTGGAGTTCTGTCATCTCCAACCAAACAGGGGTCCACCCACAAGTGCCACAGCCAGACATCTGAGTGCACACTCTTCCCACCTCAGCCCCATCAATCCAGGGAACTGGGAGACAAAATCAGCCCAGGGCCCCTCCTGAGACACAGCACCACAGTGCTGAGAGCAGGAAAGGCCTGTGGCCAGCACACCAAATGCATCCGCCACAAGCACAGAGCTGCTAAGCGTGCAGCTGGCTGGCATACTCAGCCCCCAGGACACCGGGTCCCCCACCCTGTTACCTGCTCCCACGCACAGGCCGCCTTCATCCATGAGTCGAACACCAGCACGTAGCCCAGCGTCACAAGGCAGACCCAGATGAGCAGTGCCAGGGCCCGGAGCCATGGCCGGAGGAGGCACTCGACGTACACCAGCACATAGAGAGCCACGAACACCGTGAGTGTCACAAAGGCTGTGCCCAGGACAGCCTGCTCTCTGGAGGGGTCCTGGGTGGGGCACACAGACACAGAAATGCCGTGGCATTCCCCAGTGGGGCACTACCTCTTCCAGAAAGCCTGCCTGGGTTAGCATGCTCAGACTGCCCTACCATCCTCCACGTGGGTGATGCCCATGCCCCTCAAACAGCTGGGTCTTGCCCTCAGGCCTTTGTGCTGTCATCTCCGCTAGGACCGCCTTTACCACCCCCTTCCCCAGTCACCTCAGGAGCCCAAGCATCCTGCACAGCCCAGGCCTGTGATGCTGTCACTCTCCACCTGCCCTCTCCCATGAGGCAGAGCCGGCCTTTACTTCCCCCAGGTTCCTACAGTGCTCTGGGCAGAACTTCAGGTGACAGGTATAACCACAGTAGCACAGGGCAGGGCTTATTCCCAGGCAAAGCCTTAGAAAGCCACCTAGAGAAGACAACATTGCTCCTGACCCTTAAAATATGAACAGAGATTTATGAGAGATGGTGGGAAAAGAAATCCCACATAGGGGAGGAGCTGGAGCAAAGCTACAGAGCTGTGATGGCAGGGGGACAGGAAAGATCGTCACACAACTGGCACAGCACCCAGTAGGTCCCGAGTCCTCCCAGAAGACCCTAAGCTCCACAAGAACAGAGGCACAATCTGGGGGCTGGCACACAGTAGGCACTCAATAACTATTTGTTGAATGACAGGAAATAAATGTCCTATGGTCTATACCTACACAGACCCAGGCAGCACTGATACTTTACACATGGTGCCCAGTAATGCCCTATAGTCTCTAACGTTTTCTTCTAGAACTCTAATTAAATTTATATTAATTAAAAAGAAAATGAAAAATGCAGTTCCTCAGTCATACTAGCCCACTGATACTTTACACATGGTGCCCAGTAATGCCCTATAGTCTCTAACGTTTTCTTCTAGAACTCTAATTAAATTTATATTAATTAAAAAGAAAATGAAAAATGCAGTTCCTCAGTCATACTAGCCATGTTTCAAGTACTCAGTGGCTACAGCAGGCAAGTGCCCAGGTCAGATGTTATTAATGGTGTCTGCCTGGGTAGTTGCGTTAAGAAGGATTCTGAGGCTCAGTGAGGTGCACAGGAATTGATTAGTGATGTCTGCCACGGTATGGGAATTGAGAGCCGTGATACACAGCTCATGCCTGACTCAGATCTACAGTAGAATCAAACTTCACCGAGGAGAAAACTGAGGGTAATTTATTTGGCCTAATCAATGTAACCACCCCAGACATCAAAACTACATTAAAATTAAAAACCTATCTTCCACCTGTCTAAATGTGCTTCATGCATTTTACAGAGGAGGAAACTGAGGCTTAGAGAAGGTAGGGACTTATCCAAGGCCTCACAAGCACAAAGTGTCAGAGCTGGGATGTGAAGCCCAGAGAAGCCCCACTGCCCATGGGCTGTGCTCACTCACGCCGTGGCTGAAGGCGATGACAATGAGGGCAACGCAGGCAGTGACAGCCACCAAGAGCAGTGTGAGCAGCAGTGGCCCATGCTGGCTGGTGAGGCGGTACTTCTCGTATAGCGCATCTTGGTCTGGGCCCTCCTCGCCCTCATTGAGGAAGTAGCGTCCCTTGGCCGGCATCCTCCTGCTTGGCACACTTGCTCTCCAGTCCACTCAGGAGACCCCACAGCCTGGGGGCATCTGTCTGCCGACACCCTTCTCCGTGGGCCTAGACTGGCAAGCTGAGCTGGGGAGAGGCTCCCGGGGCCTGCAGCTCCATGGGTGATGCAGGGACTGCACTGCTCCAGCTGCCAGCTGTGCACCCAGACCGGGCTGACCAGACACACGTCCTCAGCTCTGCAGAGACAAAGCAGACCCAGGATTTGACCTCAACAGGCCAAGCCAGGGAAGGGCTGGAGCATCAGGGGAACATGGGCCCCAGGCTCACAGCATCTGTGTCTGGTTTGTCAATCTTAACCCTCATCTAACTTCTACATCCTGTTTAAAGCTTTGCCCACTCCCAGGTCATAAAGCTAGTCCCCCGTTTTCTAGAACTGCACTAACCAATACAGTAGCCACTAGCCACATGTGCCTATCTTAAATTAAACTTAATTTAATTGAAAATAAAATTAAAAATTCAGTCTTTCCAGTGCTCAAGAGCCACGTACAGTGGATGGCTACCATACTGGACAGTGCAGATATAAGCACTTCTATCATCACAGAAACTTCTACGGGACAGTGCTGTTCTAGAAGTCAGACTGTTTTACTTTCATGTGTGGGTCTTTGATCCATCCTGATTCATTTTGTGTATGGTGTGAGGTAGGGATCAAGGTTCATTTATTTTTTCTGAGTGGATATCTAATTATCTCAGCAGTATTTAATGAACCGACCATCCTTTCCTCACTGAATTTCGAAGGAGCTGCCTCTCAGCTGACCCTGCATGTGGGATTTGTTTCTAGGCTCTGTTCTATTCCAATGGTCCTCGTGCAAATACTACACTCACTCAATGACTGGGGCTTCTCTGTGAATATTTTGTCTCCCGGTCCAGAGGGTTACAAACCATGATCCTGGGAGCCCAGGGATTTGGGGACATGCCCCGGCACCCAGATGGGATCAGGAGGCCAAAGGGCACAGGTTAGCTCCCACACCCATTTCAGGAAGGGCATCCCCTACATCTGTGTTAAGTTTCCACATAAGACTGCATTTTCTTAAAAGGGCCTACTAACACAAATTTAAGAAGTTTGCAAGCCCTGCTTCAACAGAAAAGGATGCTGACAAGCTACAAATCTGATTTCTATATGAAATAATGATTTTTGCAGCTAATCTTAAAATTTAAGTATAGCCCACTAGTTTGCAGCCTCTAAGTGTAAACTAATCAGTCTTTATTCTACAAGAGACATTTATTGAGTACAACTATATATATCCAACCCTGTGCTGTGAGGTTTACAGAACAAGATAAGGTCTCTGCCCTGAGAAGCACCCGATCTAGGACACCCCTAAAATAGCTCTTTGCAGTAATAACAGCACTAGTTCCTGTCACCCCAAGCATCTGCACACACATTTACTCTCCTCTTCATAACCTGCTAACACCAAGATGTTACAGCCATTTTACAGATGTGGAACTGAGCCCAGAGAGGCAGAGTGGCTCACCTGAGATCACACAGCTAGAGCTGGTGGGTAGATGGGCCAGGATTCAAGCCTGGGTCTGCCAGCTCCCAAACCAGGGCTCCTAGACCCAGTCTTCCCCACCGACATCCCAGGAGACTGAATCAGATGCCATAAGCACACAAACACACCACCACCTGCCCCTCTGGCCTGGTGCCAAACACCAGGGCACGGGAATTTCCAGGCTGAGAAACCCCAAACAATGAGGGGCCAGGAGAACTGCCCACAGCTGCTCTACCCTCTGGGCAAAGCCCTTAGAACAGAGCTGTGGGTGGAAAGTGTAAGGGTACATGTGACCACACATACATACCCACACACGCTCACCCCACACCACTTTTCATCCCCAGATGCTGACCTGTCCTGCCAGGCACACAAAGGCAACCTGAGCCAGGCATGGAGAGAGAGAGTAGCCAGTAGAAAGGTTCCCGAGGGCCTGTGGGAACCCAGGCCTGGTAAACACTCCTCTCGGGGATCTAATTAGGTCACTTCCCAGGCAACGGCAGGAGGGAAAGGGGGGGACAATGGACAGCACTGGGCACAGAGACTTTGGCCCATCCAGGGACCTCATCCAGCTCCTGGAACAAGTTAGGCAGTACAAAGCAGGGCTGGGGACTGGGAGGAAATATTTCATGGATCATTCCTGGAGAGATGGCCGGGCACCCACCACCAGTGGGCATTTCCACAGGCCAGCTCCTCTCCAGGAGACACTCCCCCAAAGCCAGATCCAGAGGCACCCACTGTCAGGGAAGATTTCAGGGCTCCTCTGACCAATCACCGATTCTTCTACCAGTCACTGACTGGGCTGGCTGAGAGGGCCCCTCTGAGGCCCTGGATGAAAGAAAGCCTTTGCTATGTCTCCAACAAATGAGCCTGCAGCCTCAGCTTGCACACCCCAGTGACGAGAAGCTCATCACCTCTCGGGAAGGTCTTCTCCATCACTGGGCACTCCTAGCTCTAAGTCCTGACTTAGGTCAAGCCAAGCCCTGCCTCCCTGTCCCTCCCCCACCTCTCTGGTCCTGTTTGAACTCAAAAGCCACCAAGAGCAGGGACATGCTGTTGGGTGAGAGAGACAAAACTCCTTTACCTAGAGGGACTGTAGTCCCAGGGTCCCTCACTGACATTCACACCTTATAACCACCCTGGTAGCAAAACAGGGCCAGCAGCCCCATTTTATAGAGGGGGACCCCACCATATTTCATTTTATAGGGGAGGACCCCACCATGTTTCAGTTGGGGAGAGGGTGTTTCCTGCTTCTGCTGGGCACTGTCCACACCCCCCACTCTCAGTCCCCTGGTTCAGGGCCACAGGACCCAGGTATGGCTAATCAGCATGGTCACTCCCAAGCCCCAGTGACCAAAATTATCCCAGCAGGGATCCTCTTTGGAACATCTGCTGACTTAGGGAAAGAGGTGCTCTCCTTTGTCAATGGTCTGGAGCTGCAGGCAGACACCTACCAACACCAGTAGAAAGCGTGTCTGCAAATGAAGCCAACAGGGAGAACTAGAGAGAGACAGAGGCCTGACAACACCCCCTGAGCCCCTGGATCCAGCCACGCCTGAAGCTCAAGCAACCTCCAGATATTTCAATCACATGAGATAATCAATGCCCCTTTCAGCTTAAGCCAGTTTGAGTTTTTGTTACTTGCAACCAAGAGTCCGAAGGTTCATGTCAGGCTTCCTGACCCAGTTTGTTATGCCCAGGAAGCATGTACAGCCCCTTGATAGGTCCAGAGTCAAGGGGAAGGTCCTACTTAAGACAGAAGTGACAGTGGGGACTTGCAGATACAGCCAGTCCTGGCTAAGACCTCCTTTGGAAGGGAGCTGGGATGGGACCCTGGGCCCACTCCCATACCTCTGCTACTGTAACTCAGGCCAAGCCAGGCTGCAGAAGACCTGGGGCAGGGGGAAAAAGACCCAGGGCTACAGGAGTCTGGAGTAGGGGGAGTAGGCGGGAGCTCCTTCATCTTCTCCAGTGGCCTCCAGAGACTCCTCCCTTAGAGGAGGAATTAGGGAGCCCAGAGACATACTGAGGTATAAATATTACTGGGGAATCAACTTCACTCCCCTCCAGTGATCTTGGTGGGCTCTCAGTTCTCTCCAGCCCCAGGTCCCAGGATATAGTCTCTTACCGCATGCCTGGAACTGTGCTTTCTTTCCACTGTGCACCTGCCCTGTAGGAATGAAGACTGCTACCATATTATGGATGTGGGAACTGAGGCACAGAGAGGTTCAGTCAGGTCGCGCAGCTAGTAAGAGAGAGCTGGGGTTTGAACAAAGGCCATCCAGGGTCTACCCCTCATCCTGCCTGTCACCCTTATGGTGCTGACATTCCAAAAGCCCGTAACAGCTCAAAATGCCAACCCCGTCCTGTCCTTCCTCCCAACAAGGCCCAGGACAGAACTATGGCCAGGAGGGTAGGGGGCTAAGTGAACCCCATGAAGGCACTTCCCTCTGCTCCTTGCAGGAGCAGGGCCAGGCCAGAAAGATCCAAGGGGGCTTCCTGGAGAAGAAAGCTAGCTCACATGCAGCCTCTTCTCCCACCTCTGCAACTGAGGCAGGACTGTGGCATCCTCACCAAATACTGACTGGCTGAGTCCAGGNAGTGATCTTGGTGGGCTCTCAGTTCTCTCCAGCCCCAGGTCCCAGGATATAGTCTCTTACCGCATGCCTGGAACTGTGCTTTCTTTCCACTGTGCACCTGCCCTGTAGGAATGAAGACTGCTACCATATTATGGATGTGGGAACTGAGGCACAGAGAGGTTCAGTCAGGTCGCGCAGCTAGTAAGAGAGAGCTGGGGTTTGAACAAAGGCCATCCAGGGTCTACCCCTCATCCTGCCTGTCACCCTTATGGTGCTGACATTCCAAAAGCCCGTAACAGCTCAAAATGCCAACCCCGTCCTGTCCTTCCTCCCAACAAGGCCCAGGACAGAACAATGGCCAGGAGGGTAGGGGGCTAAGTGAACCCCATGAAGGCACTTCCCTCTGCTCCCTGCAGGAGCAGGGCCAGGCCAGAAAGATCCAAGGGGGCTTCCTGGAGGAGAAAGCTAGCTCACATGCAGCCTCTTCTCCCACCTCTGCAACTGAGGCAGGACTGTGGCATCCTCACCAAATACTGACTGGCTGAGTCCAGCCGTAACAGCTCAAAATGCCAACCCCGTCCTGTCCTTCCTCCCAACAAGGCCCAGGACAGAACTATGGCCAGGAGGGTAGGGGGCTAAGTGAACCCCATGAAGGCACTTCCCTCTGCTCCTTGCAGGAGCAGGGCCAGGCCAGAAAGATCCAAGGGGGCTTCCTGGAGAAGAAAGCTAGCTCACATGCAGCCTCTTCTCCCACCTCTGCAACTGAGGCAGGACTGTGGCATCCTCACCAAATACTGACTGGCTGAGTCCAGCTTCCCCAGCAGGAAAAGTCCCTGGAAGTAGGATGCTAGGACTCCACATTATAACAGCAGGATTTGTCCCTCAGGGGTGCTCAGG